GCCGCGGACGCGGCCAAGCAGTCTTGCTGTACTGTGCTGGGAGATCGGTCGACCTTCAGAGTGGGAGAGTACCAAGCCTAGCTTTCGGACGCCCTTACAGCACAGGAGAGTACGGGGACTGACACCTGGGTCACTCTCTGGAGGAGAGAACGGCTGGAGAGGAGGGTACCAGGGGGTTACCCGGACGCCTGAAGAAGCTCGGAGAGGATTGCTTAGTACTTCTGGTGGCATGGAGAGAACGGCTGGACTATCCGCCGGTCGGCCCTGACAGAGGAGAGTACAGGGAGGTTACCCGGACGCCTGAGGGAGAAGCTCGGAGAGGATTGCTTAGTACTTCTGGTGGTATGGAGAGAACGGCTGGACTATCCGCTGGTCGCCTCTTAGAGAGGAGAGTACAGGGAGGTCAGCCGGACGCCTGAGGAAGCTCGGAGAGGATTGCTTAGTACTTCTGGTGGTATGGAGAGAACGGCAGGGCTATCCACCGGTCGCCTACCAGGAGAAGTGCAGGTGGACTCTCCGATCATACGCGTATCACTTAAATATTGTGATAGGAGAGTACGAGAGCTATACCTGGGTCGCTCCTGGAATGGAAAGAACGGCTGGACTATCCGCTGGACGCCTTCGAGAGAGTAGAGTACAGGAGGCTCATCGGACGCCTTCCCACAATAATTGTCATAAATCACTTCTCGCGTATTACATAATATTGTGATAGGAAAGTACGGGAGCTATACCTGGGTTGCTCCTGGAATGGAAAGAACGGCTGGACTATCCGCCTAACGCTTTCCAGAGAGTAGAGTACAGGAGGCTCACCGGACGCCTTCTCACAGTAATTGTTATAAATCGTTTTATCCGTTTCGGTAATATTGTAATGGGAGAGTACGGCTGCTTAAAGCCGGACGTCCGAAAGCAAAAGCAATAGCTCGAACACTGCATTGATTTGTTCGAAATTATTTTGTACCAAACATTTAACATGTATCGACGAAAGGATTTTGACAATTTTCTTCATTTTGAGCAAATTTGAGCAGTTAAATTTGACATTAATATGAAGATTTATATGTTCAAAATTAATATACAAAAAATCACAGAGGTATTACTCGGTACTTTTTTTAAAAGTCTCGTTAAATTTGATAAAAATTTTACATAAAAAATTAGGAAAATTTATCACTATTGTATTCAAATTCTGTCAGCCTCAATGGTATTCAGGTACTAAACACAACCTATAAAAATCAAATCAAAAACACAAATGGTCTGTGTATGACACATATTTGAAAAATACACTGATTTTAATGGGGCAAATTTCACGTCTTAATTTTAACAACAAACGGACGTATTCAGTCAAAATTATAGGTAATATTGCAAACTATGGTTTGTTATTAACATCTTAAAATGAAAAAATTTTTAGATTTTACACTTTGAATTTCTGATTTTTGTCCATTGGTCGAAACACTGTGCGTCGGTGTTACATTTTATTTTTAATTATTTTGTAATTTCACTTAACAAGGAGACTACATACCTTACCCCCCGAGGATTTTAATGAAATTTGGAGGGATGAATCTAGAAGTCCAAAAATGACATTCTGTAATATATTTAATTTCAATGCTCATTTTTTATAAATAATTGAAATTGCTTCTATAAAACTTTAGAAGTTTAAGTGATTGTACACCGAAATGAAAGAATCAAACATTATTATTATACTTAAAATCTCTGAAATGTTGGCTACACTAGTTTGCACTAATGGCTACACTATTAAGTTAGTCGATACAGTTGAAGTAAATTAACAAAAATTCACGTTTAAATGGATTCATTTATATACATATTACTATGTGATAGTACAATAAAAAAAAGTAACAAAGTAACAAAAAATAAATGTTAATAATGTAAAACAAGGGAAGTAGAATTTGATACAAGTAAATATGATTTTAAATCGTAATAATTATTCCTATACTATTTTCCTTGTTCTAGGAATTTTTTTTAGGAGGGCACCACTGCTAGTAATACTTCGTACCTTCGGTTAATACTGTCTCATTCATGGCATTATGCTACGCCAGTTTCCGCTTTGAGATCATGGATTGCATCAAGTGTACTGTTCTCGAAAAAAGATAGCTTTATTCAGATATTAATTATTTTTCGTAATAACGTGGCGTAATAAACTTTCCTCCTCGTTTCCTGGAGGTAAGAAATCACTCTTATCGAAGTGTATGATTTATGAAAAAAAATAGTGTCATTGATAATCAATAACAAGTTGAATAAAATGGAAACATACCGATTATAAAACAGCTTTATGACGCCTCTTTCTTTCCTGTACGACGTATCTTTTTTTTATAAAAACAAATCTTTAAAAGTTAATCTTATCGTCTCTAAATAGACTCTAAGAAGAACAAATTTCTATCTTGCTAATATTGTTTCGTGAACATATGAAAGAACATCGACGAAAACGCAGATAACAGGATTTATATTCAGCTTTGTATTTGTTTTGACTATTAATTTATACAACTATTAATAATGTCTATTTATTGTAAAATAATGAAAATTATTTAATACCTCAAGGTAATTTAATACTTATCTTTTTGTTAGATAAAAGAAACAGTACACCTAGCTTCATAAATGCTAGAATATTTTAGTGAGTCTATTATATCCACAAAATATTTATAAACTATGGTATTATGAAATAAATACAAAAATCGTATTGAACTTTATAAATTAATTACTAATATTGGTAATGATATTGAAATTGAATTGGTGATGTATTGATATTAACGTACAATATATACATTTAATTTATATACAACAACATATATAATAAAAATTATTAAATTTTGTACAAGTATGTCAATATTAATTCCACTAAGTTAAAATATAATTTTATTTGTTCCAGGGTAGTTTCTTTTAATAAATAGACAAATATTTTCATTTATGATGGAAGGTCCATTAGAAGTAAAGACTTCTACCGCAGGTGCAGAAGAACCTATTAAATCAGAACCTATTAAGTCTGAAGCACCAGATCGGAGTGAAGGTGCAGTGTCACCTCCACCTAATTGTAGTATTTGTTTGGGCAAATTAGTGAATACATCATTCACAGATAGTTGCCTTCATCAATTTTGCTTTACTTGTCTGCTTCAATGGTCTAAAATAAAGACAGAATGTCCATTATGTAAGCAGACATTTAAGTCAATCATACATAATGTTAGATCAGAAGAAGATTATGACCAGTATCATGTATCCAGAGAATTAGCTACTTTGGACCCTAGTTTTGAATTGCTTTCCCATTATAGGTATTATATAAATCTTAATTCTAAATTAATGATTACTATTAAATATATTTAATAGTCTCACAAATCAATAATTTTTACCATTATAGGACAACTATGACAGGACATCACATACGCCCACATGAAGTAATGTTTAACCCAGAACAAGTTGCAAGAAGAGATCAATCACCAAGCTTAATACCTCAAGTCCCAATGGGAGAACGCTTACGTAGACGGGCAAAACCAGCCTACGATCGCCGTACCATTTATAGGCTTGGCCTTTGGGCTTTACCACAAAATGTACTTCGCCGTTTTCGCGTTACCAGTGCTGACTTTTATCGGTCAGTTACTATTCATATATTTCTCGTATACATAGAGTTGATCTTCATAGCATCTTTTATTTTATTTATTATTACAGAAGAGAACCTAGAGAATTAAGTCGACTTATACCATGGCTAAATAGAGAATTGCTAGTGTTGTTGAATAACAATACTACATATGTTGAATACGTTCTAAGAGTTATATTGACTGCTCTTAATAACTACGATATTAGGAGCACGTCGTTTCGAGAATTATTGCGCCCTCATTTTGGCACATTTACAGATCACTTTGTACATGAATTATTTAATTATGCGCGATCTAACTACGATTTACTTGGATATGATCAGTCTGTAATCTCTGTACCACGAGGTACATAATTCACAACTATTACTTTTATATTATGATAATATTTTATACAGCACTTGTATAAAACTAATAATATTTGTTATAGAAATATTAAATGAATATATAAGTGATATGAATATATCACCTGCAAATACTAGCACCAGTTCCGACGATTCAGATGTTCGAGTTCTTGATGAAGCAATCTTAGATCTTAGAATGAATACAGAAATGCCTGGTGTAGGACCACATACTATTAATATGCCTGGTAAGTTATTTTATTAATCATATCTTGTCAATTTCAGATTGGAATTGTTAACGTTCTTTTTAATTAGGTCCAAGTACTGTGGGGCAGGCGTTCCAATCGGAAGAAATAGATGAACCATTTAATGCACCAGATGTATATACTATTTCTTCTGATTCTCTTGCATCAGATAACGATTGTGAAGTAATCGCTTATGTGAAACCCCGACATGAAAGGACACCAGAAATCATAGAATTAGTTTCGTCTGATCCTGAAGAAATCGATATTTCTCACGTATCTAACGATAATGCCCAGTAAGTAAAAGTATTTTGTTTCGAAGCCTTTAACAACGATCGAAATAAGATCAAGAAATAATTTAATATTATTGTTAGATCTTCAGCGCCTGACTTGGATGAAGATAACGCCCAACCTAGTACATCCCATATTATTAAAAAAACAATTATTAGTAGGTCATCCTCGACGGTTGCCTCATATGAAGATAATGCCCAACCTAGTACATCCCATAGTATTAAAAAAAATGTTAACAGATCATCATCAACATCCCATAGTATTAAAAAACGAGTTTTGACTTCTTCGTCTAGCGAAAGTGATTCTGATTCAGACAGCGATTATACTTCCGTGAGAAGCAAAAAATATCACAGTCGCAGTAGGAAGCGCTCGAAAAGAAGTACAACTAAAAGGCGTAATCGATCAAGGGAAACAAGGGTTCGTAATCGTTCAAGTAGACATTTATCTAGTTCCGGAGAAAGTGACTCTAGAAAGAAACGAAAAAAAAGAAATACTCAACGAAGGGTGAAAAAGAGGTTGAGTAATAGTAACGACAGTAGTTCCCATGAGATTGTTGAAAAGAAATCGAGAACTTCGCAGTATTCTACAAAAGGTACCGTACGCGTTCGTAAGGACTTAATTAAAAAAGAAACTCGATACTCGGATGAAGAATCATTTAGTAGTGATAGTAGTACTGAATGTGACGAAACCGCTAAAAATGTAAAGTGTCGTACGGTACGAAGATCAAAAAGGATATACACCACTAGCTCGAGTGATTTTGACATGGGTAGTAGAAATGAAAGAGTAGTTAGAAAAAGAGGTAAAACAAAACAGGCACTAGATGTAAGGGAATCGCACCGAAAAGAATCAAGATATAAGGATGACCGACAATCTACTTCTAGAAGTAGCAGTGCATCTTCGTATGCATCACAAAAAGAAAAAAGAGTTAGCTCGAAACGACGAGAATCTCAAAGACCTATGAGTGATGAGGACAGTAACTGGATAAATAGAATAGTTTCAAGAAAACGTGAATTCAAATCTAAAATGAGAAAAACTATTCGGAGTAGTTTTTGATTGTGAAAAGGATTATAGATTGCATAATTAGTGCAGTAATTATTCAAGTAAAACGTATACACATAAAAAGAAGTTGAAGCATTAAACATAGGCACAAAAGTAAAAGAAGGAAACGATCTAACAGTAGAATACATAGTTCGTCCAATCGATTACGATTAACTTGGCGACAACTCCTGCAAAATTAGCAAGGAGGTATAGAAGATCTCAGGGTAACACCAAATCAAATCGATAAAAATAGCGATGCATTTTATCGTTAATTATCTTGAATTCAAAATAATGCTATTGATGATCTTGTTTAATTGAAAATTTATAATGACTTTTTTTAAATGATCGTATGTGCATAAAACATAAACAACGATGAAGCATGGTGAATTCACGTTTGCTTTAGTGTTTTGCTATTAACGAAACACTTTCAAAATGAAAACATACTGCATTATACAAAATATTATTTCATTCCTTTATTTTCTAAATAAAAATGGCTTCCACATGTGTTGTAAAATATATGGAAACTACGTATAAAAGTACTGACATTAGGTAATAGGCCTTATTTATAACTCTTTCTACTGTATAAAATAATTACGTAAAGTGTATTCAAACTCAATATTAAATTTTATGTTAAATTTTGGGTAACATGAAAGAAAACAAAATATTCTATACATGAATATAGCATATATCTCACTATTACCATCATCAAGTTACAATGAACTTGAGTATATTTCCTTAAGATTTTGTTTCCCAAAGAGTATTTGTAAATATACATGTATATTATAAGCTAATAATTTAATTAAAACTTTACACAGATATAATTTTTTGTAAAGTACATAGACTTAGAACTGTTATGTGTACAATTATATATGTTACATATAAATCATAAAATAACTAGTTTATAACATAATATCAATTCTTCCTTTTTTCTTAAAATATTGCACATTTCTGGTACTTGAAAATTGAATCACGATACTTTAACTTAAAAAATTTTATTTTCCTTGTAAAATAATGTTATACATGTTTCTTAATACATAATGTATATCTTAAAATCATCTACATCCATGGTTCTTGCTCGTTTATTTTCAGCACCTGCATTTTGCAAAGTATTGTTTATCATGTCTTTAATATTAAATCCTTCTGGAACAGCCTAAATATTAAAAAACAATCTTCTTGTTAATATCTAAATCAATTTTCTTATAATATTTATTACATTTATGGTTACCTTATTATTTAAGCTACAATGAAGTTTATAATTTTTTTCTAACATTGTGTAGACTGTAGTTTGTTTAAATGCTGCTGAAAGTGTTTTATTTTTTCTGACAAATGCAATTCTTGTCAAACCATCCCATTCTTGATAATTTATTGGAGGTGGTGGATTACGTGGTTCCATTCTAACTACATTTGATTCTACTTTTGGTGGTGGTCTAAAATTATTTTTTCCCACTTTCATAAGCAAGTCCACTCGTGCTAACAATTGAGTGTTTACACTTAGACGACAGTACATTTTGTCCCCTGGTTTTGCCACCATACGTTCAGCAAATTCTCTTTGAAACATAAGTACAGCACATCTGTAGAAAATAATGTGCTAATCAAGTCCACCTCCTCTTGTGTTTCCTGCATGTTAGAAATTGGCAGAATGCTTTTAGAATTAATTATTTTGCATCCTTTCCATGACTATATCATACTCTCAAAATATATTCTAATCCTTGAATAAAAATAAGTATATCTTTAGATAAAATAAACTTACCTAAATAATGGCCTATGTAAAAGTAATTTAAAGATTAAAGGAGATGATATTTGATACGGTATATTAGCAACACATAAATCAAAAAATGGCAAATCTGATTTCAAAACATCTCCTATCATAATTTGCAGTTTTGCCTGATAAGGAGTACCTTGTACACGTTTTTGTAATTCAGCTACCATTCGAGTATCAATCTCGCATGTTATTACTTTTTTAGCTTTATCCAATAACTTCACTGTCATATTACCAGTACCAGAACCTATTTCTAATACAACATCTGTTGGTCTAACTGCCGCTTTTTCGACCATACTTTCAATTATACGTGGATTTTTTAAAATATGTTGTCCAATATTCGTATTAAATAAAATTCCTGAAAAATGTCTTGCATGATCAATTACAATTTTTATTGTCACAAGAAAAATAAGTATTCGAAATATCTCATACCCTGCTTTACAACTTCTTTGTGAATACGAGTCGTTTTCTGCGTACGTATCTTTGGCATTTTGTTTCTGTTATTTTTTAAATTATATGGAAAAGACTATGTAAAATAAATGTACAATAATTTTCGCGCAAACAATAAACGAAAAGAATTAACCATAGTCTTGACTTAAATATATTGTAGTATCAAAAGATTAATTCATTTCTACGCTAACATCTTCAGCTCCCTCTTATGTAGTACATTAAAATTAAAATCTGGTATACTTTCGATTACTAAATTTTCCTATTGATTTTTTTATTTATAATTAATTTAGATTTATAAAGTGCAGAATACTGAAACAATACAAATGCTTATATATGCTTATATTTCATAAAGCTCAATTTCTTGACAAAGTAGCGTAACTGTTAACACAGTAAACTTAAGGAAAAGCGTTTACCTATCTTATGCATTAACATGGACGTAAATCTGTCATTTTGATAATTATATACATAGTTAAGGTTATAGACAACGGATTATTGCAACATTGTTTAAAACTTTATCAAGCATGAATGTTTAACGAAACTTAAAATTAATTCTTAGTAAACGCATGTAATTATTGATGTTCTTATTATAAAAAACAAGCATCCTAACTATGTAATTTAAGTTTGCTGAGTGTTCCGTAATTTTCCAGAAGTAAAATTTTGCGATGCAAAAGTATAATCTTGCGAATCTAAATTGGTGACGTTATGGAGCTGAAAGTATGGGTAGAAGGTATACAGCGAATTGTATGTGGTGTTACAGAAACCACTACATGTCAGGTTGGCAATGTTTACCTAAGTATTAAAATTACATTAGAACATGTAACATTCACAATTTTGAACATTCAATTTTAGAATTTAACAATACATAACTACTCACAATAATTGGTACAAGTTATTTTCCTGTAACATTTTGTAACATAATAACATAACATGTAATTAAAAATTAATTTTTAGGATGTAGTATATGCTCTTGCCCATGCTACGGGACAAACAGGTAGATTTACTCTAGTAGAGAGATGGAGAACCAATGAGCGTCTTTTAGCTCCATATGAAAATCCTTTAAAGGTATTAATATAATCAATTATGAAAGAAATAATTAATGACTTGTATATTTTTTATATAATAATGTAATTGTTTTAATAAGATTCTAATGAAGTGGGGAGAATATTCCTCAGAAGTTCAGTTAATATTACGGCGTTCTACACCAGAAAATAATAAAGCTCCTAGCTCATTAGGAACTCGTTTAAATCATGGTTCACGATCAAATGGTATAGTGAGTTCTACCTCAGAACATATCACAGCTAATATTGGACAAGATGATACCAAGAATACTACAACTCCAAATTCTGAATTTGATGATTTGCAAGGATGTCTTGATAGAAATCGTGATATTAGAAAATCATTAACATTTGGAGGTTTGCATGGAAATGTTATGGAAAATAATACAGAAGTAAATAATGTTTAAATTATGCTGCATATTTTCATAATTAATTTTGTCTAATGGTTTATGGTATCTTAAATATTTTAAACATGTATTTTAGATTCAAATGGAAAATGTTGCCATAGTTCAACCTACACCACATTTAAAAAATAAGGAATTAAACATACGAAAAAATATACAAAAACCAGCTCAGTCTCCTACCCGTGCTAGTAGCAGTGAAAGTAACACACATTTATCACAAAAGAAAGTGCGTGAAGTTCCCCCATATAGGGATCCTCCAGGTCCAGCTTCACCACCTTTACGAACTTTACCCCCATACAGAGATCCTCCACCACCTAATTTAAATAGTCCTGGAAGATCACAGTTTCAATCTAATACAAATATTGGAAGTCCTCATGTTCATAAAGAAGATCAACCATCTTCCAGTAATTCTGTCAAACTAAAGAGAAATCTCATTCAGGTTCTACAGACAAGATATTTTTTAAATACAAAATATATACACATATATAAACAGATAGATAGATACAAACATAATGTAATGATAACAATGGTACAATTACTGCCATTCATACTCTTAACCCTTTTCGTATGTTTAGGAATTTCAAGATACAAAAGGACAAACTCAGTCTGTAAATCAGTTATCTGGTCAAGCTCAAAATATGGTTACTGTTGCTTACACTCAACGATATGTGGAACTTATTAGACTAGTCAATAAGCAACGTGATACTATTAATGCACAGCAAGCAGATCTTACTAAAGTATGCAACTTACAAAGTGAAGTATTTAAGTATAGATGGAAAAAACTTACAGAATATGCTTTATTATTTATTCTTAGTTTGATGCTGAAATATTATACTGGGAAACTAAAAACAGGGAGCAAATGCATGAAATGGATTTCATTTCTCAAGAAGTAAGTCGTATGGAATCTACAGGACGACTTATTGAAGAACAGGTACATATGTTGTAAATAATTAAGTTATTTACAATGCAATACGAACTTTCGTAATTATTGTAGTTGCAATAACATTTACTATTTTTACAGCTAAAAGAATTAGCGCATGTGGAAGAAGAAAGTGAAATAGTTAGACAACAAGAAAAAACATTAAAATCAGAAATCACTTTGCTAAGATCAAAACTTGCAAATTGTGAAACAGAGTTACTTCAGTGTAAAAATAAAATCAGGTAGGAAAAAATTTAAATCTTCCTAATATAGCACGATATCGACTTTTTTTTTCACGTTACAGATTAGTCATGGAAGAGCTTGTCATAGAACAAAACAATATAAGTCGCGAAACAGACGAACGGCAAATAATGGAACGTAAAATCATTACTGAAGTTGAACATCTTCAAAATGAAGTAGAACAAGCTAAACGTTCTGCTGAGTTAGCTTCGCAATGTGCGGAATCGCTAAAACTTGAAGTAGTAAATTTAGAATCAGCAATTGTTGAGAAAAAATTACAAGTCGAACGATTAGTAGCGGATATGAAAGAAGCTAATTTACAAAGTTTAGCTGTTGCTTGCCAAGATGAACAAGTCAAGTCATTACTTGAAGGTATATGAAATTATATGAGAATGTAATTCAAAGTATTTGTTGATTTATTGATTCTTTTGCATACATTTATAACATAGGTGCCCATAAACCCGGCAGTACGCGTAAAATGATCGGTTCCCCGAGACAATTGGAGACTGCAGTACCTACCAGCAAAAATCCGCATGGTGTTTGGGTATAATTTATATATTACTCGATATATACCAATATATCGAACATAATATCTTACTTTGAGTACAGTAAATAATTAAACATTTCACGTAACGTTATATATGCAATTTGCATAATTATTAGAGCTAACGCAAGTGAATAAGATATTTTACTTTCGTATTGTTCATGCATACACTTCGTAATTGTTTTATCTACTGGCCATATAATTTTCAGCAAGCTTAACTATAAGCATTGATTAATAGTTTGAAACATTATTTATGTATATATAGGACAAAAAATATTGGACAATACATTTATCCAAAGTATTACAATTACAAATCATGTGACGCACTTGCATGATATAATTTAAGAAAACGTACTTATAAATTATTGCAAGTTCTGTGGAACTATTACTTGAGATAAGATTATATATTTTCTATAATCAAAACGATTCTGTGAATTAAGAGCATTTACATACTGGTGCACTATACATTTAAAATATTAATGTAGTACACATATATTGTGTATCTTGTACATATAGTTGAAAGTATGTGATAATGAAGTCTGAAACATTCTACTCTATTTTCTGTTGAAATATCCTAGTTTACATCAACTATATTACTAAATATTTAAGAATTTATCTTTTCAAATTTAATTTCAAAATTGAATGTGAGAATATTTTATTGAACAAATATTTTCCATAAAAGGATCTAATTACATTTATTGTTTGATTCTATGATATTCTCGCAATTTCCATTGTTTTATACATTTATCAGCGCATACTGTTAGAACAATATCTTCACACTGCCATTGATAATATTAACCTGTCTTTTACAATGTGTCTACCAAAGTGTGTTAATTTTTTATTAAAAAATAAGCACGTATTGTATAATGAAATATACAAATAAAAGTTAAAATTAAGTAAAGTTATTCATTTATAACCTGGTATTAATGTAAGAAGATAAAAATATAAACCAATCAAAGTGCAGAAAATGTTTTTATATAGTTGACTCCACTTTCGCGCGCTTTTGAAGTCATTACGTTGCAAAAGGAGAAGATACCCGTGTTATTAATGTTTAGTTTATTATTGTATACATATAAATAACTGAAAGAAGATTTTTTTTGTAAATAGCATAAATATTTGAAATGTGATTATGCTGTTGTAATGTGACATTTAATAATTCATACAATCATACGTTAAGTAGAATTAAGGCAACATACATCTTCTACATTATTTTAATAAATATGAGTCTTTGGGTAGACAAATATCGCCCGACAACGCTCGGAAAATTAGATTATCATAAAGAACAAGCGGAATATCTCAAAAATATGGTAATATTATATATTGAAGAATACTTAAATTAAAAAATAGGTTATATAGAAAGTACGCTACTATACATTGCAACGTCATATCTTCAGTTTTAAAAAATTGTTATTTTTATGCAACTAACTTTATACTGTGATTACAGGTACAAAAAGGTGATTTTCCACATTTATTAGTATATGGACCATCAGGAGCAGGAAAGAAAACTCGTATAATGTGTACCATAAAAGAATTATATGGAAGTGGAGTTGAGAGATTAAGAATGGAGACCATGACATTTCAGGTATTCTACACTTTTATATATTTCATTTGATTTTGTAAATAATAAATATATTCATATCTTTAGACACCATCTAAAAAGAAATTAGATATAACAACCATAAGTAGCAATTATCACATAGAGGTAAATCCTAGTGACGTGGGCATATATGATAGAGTTGTGGTGATGGATTTAGTAAAAACAACTGCTCAAACTCATCAAATAGATCCAAGTGGGCAAAGAGAGTTTAAAGGTAAATTTTGTAATTCTAATTAACAATTGATTATTGTTTGATTTTTTACATACTCTTTAATAATAATGACATTTTATCAGTGGTATTGCTGACTAATGTTGATCAGCTTACAAAAGATGCACAACACGCTTTAAGAAGAACAATGGAAAAATATGTTGCTACATGTAGGCTAATACTCTGTGCAAATTCAACATCACGTGTTTTGCCAGCTATTAGATCAAGGTGTTTAGGAATTAGAGTACCAGCTCCATCAATATCAGACATAAAATATATTTTGCACTCAATTTGCAAACGTGAAGGTTTAACTTTACCAAATGAACTGGCTGTTAGAATAGCTGCAACTAGCGGTAGAAACCTTAGGCGAGCAATATTAATGCTCGAAGCTTGTAAAGTTGAACAGTTAGTACACATATACATTCATAATTTTGTACAGATCAGAATAAAAAGTTCACTAATTTTATTAATTTTTAATTTTTAGATACCCATTTACTGCAGATCAAAACATTTCAGAACCAGATTGGCAAGTGTACATTCGTAATACAGCCAATATGATGGTTATTGAACAGAGTCCAACAAAACTTCTTGAAATAAGAAACAGACTTTATGAGCTATTAACTCATGCTATACCATGTGATTTGATATTTAAAGGTCTTTTACAAGAATGCATAAAAAATTGTGACCTCCAGTTAAAAATCGAAATTGCAACAGTTGCAGCAGAGTATGAACATAAAATGCATAGGGGATCAAAACCTATTTTTCACTTAGAAGCGTTTGTTGCACGGTTTATGGCAATATACAAAAAGTTTATTGATTCATCTCTTGAAGGTTTTGAGTGATATATTTATTCATATAGTTATATGGACTAAAACAATCTGTTAAATAAATTCGTACATTTCTAAACTGTTTTACGTATTACTTATAAATTAACTATTAATACTATCTAACTTCATTTTTATGCTAAATTTAATATAATTTGCAAAGTACAAAGTACAACATATTATTCTGGAAGTACAATTAATTTTCTGTAAATATTATATCACAACTTAATAACAATTATCTAAACTTATAATGTTGCAAGAGCAAGAGCAGATACTGCTGCTAATATAGATACTGCATAACCAGTACTATATACTTCCTTAATTGTGAGGAACATTCCCAAATCCCAAGCCTGTAAAATTAAAACAATTAAAATATTTTTGTAATATGACGTTTACCATAGTAATAACATAATTATTAAAAATATGTAAGTATATTACAGTCATTTCTATGAAAGTTATATTACCAAGTGACGTAGTCCATTAAATGTATGATATGTAGCAGGCAGAGCAAGTAAAGTTTTCCCCAAAATAAGAATAGGAGCAGACAAACCTAAATCTGCAGTCATTTCTATGAGACAAGGAATACCTCCTGGGATAAGTAAAGTTCCTGTAATTGCAACAGAAACTACTTATTTACAAAATTTTTTTTTTTACTTTCATTTTAGAAGAATAACAACTTATAATTTTACCTAAACCAAGTAACATTGCATAACTTGATAGTATAATGCCTGTTGTACGATGTGAAACCGAAAGAGCTGCTGTTAATTGAATTTGATAAATACTTAAATGTGGTGACAAAGGTCTCTTCAGGCGCATATTTTTTTCGTCATGAGATTCACAAACTGGACTTGACATAAGCTGCGGTTTTGAAACAGCGACATTTCGTGAGCTGAAATTTTTTAAGTGGCATAGATTATACAAATAATATGAATAAAGTATAAGATATCAATAAAAACTTAAATGACAATCAAAGGTTACGTATTACGTAACACGTTACCTGCAAGTGTATAAATTTCGAAAAGTACGAGGATCAATGCTTCGCCGGCAGAATAACCTAAGCAAAATCATTTTTTAGTATTAACATAATCAAATACAATAAAATACGATAAAAAAATTAAAGGACAGTTGACTACCTCGTATAACACAGCGCCATGTTTTTATGACTATATTCGTAATTCTAAAGATACACTTTATATGCGTGTATCGTATATAAATTATATACCTTTTTTATTGTATTTATTTTGACTTGTAAACAAAATTGCGTAATATAAATAATTAGACCAGTTAATTATTATAAAAATAATCTCATGTTAATCATATATTATTCATAAATAAGTTTCGCATCCATATTTTTTGCTGTTATTTATTTACGAATAAATTTTTCTAACAAAAAATGTACTAATAAAACAAAATTCACAGGTTTTTTAAAATAACATACGTGAAAATATTTTTTAAGTCACTGTTACTTGAAAATAGGACTTGAACAATAGCAGATCATGTATAGTATAGCCATCTTATGGTTTATATACTCCTTCTAATATTCTTCATTGAGAATACTGTGTCGTTCCTTCCATTTTCAACCGAAGATCGTTAATACATCTTTATTCTCGAAGTAGAGCATAATTTATACCAAATCAATAATTTCTAATTTTACATAACAACACATAAGCGTAATTGTGTTAAATATTAACGTACAACAAAATGAATGAGTTTAAGTTACGTATGCCTAAAACACCAAATGGATTATCCGTTGGTGTTTCATGCGTTGCAGCGGCCGGCATGGCGGTTTATGGCATTTCGAGGGCTATGTACACAGGTTTGATTTACACATTCTATTAAAGTTTATTAACTGTAATTGTTACTACAAATCAATATAAATCAATATAAATAAAGAATTATATTTAGTATATTTAATAACCTTTCTTTGTACTAAATGATGTTTAACCTAATGAAAATTTATTTAAAATAATATTTACTGTACAAGTTAAAACAAAAATTGCTTTTAACCATTGATAACTGTATAATTACTTTTTATTTAGTGGAGGCTGGTCACAGAGCAATCATATTCTCCCGTTTAGGAGGTATTCAGCAAGATATTTTGACTGAAGGCCTTCATTTTCGTGTTCCATGGTTTCATTGGCCAATTATTTATGACATCAGAAGCAGGCCTAGGAAACTTTCTTCTCCTACAGGATCCAAAGACTTACAGATGGTCAATATTTCTCTTCGTGTCCTTTCTCGTCCTGATGCAAACAGCTTACCCACAATATATCGCCATTTAGGTCTTGATTATGATGAAAAGGTTGATAGGAATTTTATTAGAATACTGCTACACTGAAATTCTAATAATTGAATCATTGACCAACACTTATGCCTACATCTTACTATATTTTAGGTTTTACCAAGCATTTGTAATGAAGTATTAAAATCAGTTGTTGCAAAGTTTAATGCATCTCAGCTGATTACACAGAGACAACAAGTATCAAATTTAGTAAGAAGAGAATTAACTGAACGTGCAAGGGATTTCAACATTGTTTTGGATGATGTGTCAATAACTGAATTAAGTTTTGGTAAAGAGTACACTGCTGCTGTAGAGTCCAAGCAAGTTGCTCAACAAGAGGCACAAAGAGCAGCTTTCTTTGTAGAAAAAGCAATACAAGAAAAACAACAGAAAATTGTTCAGGCAGAGGGTGAAGCAGAAGCTGCAAAAATGATATCCTTTAAATATTTATATGAATAATTACAACCATTTTTATTTAGAACATTTTCAAATCAGTAATATCCTTAACTCCAGTGCACCTTGGTTTAGCTCTTAGTCAAAATCCTGGGTACTTAAAATTACGAAAAATTCGAGCGGCGCAAAGTATTTCTCGCACGGTAAATATAACAAATTTGTGTATTCCCAGTAATTGATGTTAAACATACAAGATCCATCATTTGATGATGCATCAGACAAACTTAAAAGTAAGAAATAAAGGCAACGTGACATTTTCTCATGATTATTTCTCTTCATTATGTTTAATTTTATATGGCGCAACATGATTTTTAATATATATGTGTATACTAAAAACGATTGTTAATAAGATTCATTAGATGATTGTAGATATAAAAGTATCATTGCACCTATTTTTGCTTGTTACTGTCTTTATGTCCTACGGTACGATGATGCTCGCTCGCAAATCTCGAGCTCATGTGTTTTCAGGTCATGAAAGGATGAGCTGGAAAAACTGGAATGATACTACACAAAATGCTGTGAAATCTGTAAAGTCTGACCACCAACCAACAGTGATAACCAATGAAAAGTCATTGATCAAACCTGTACCAATACCTTCAGAAGAACAAATCTCTATTATATTGGATTCTGCAGATGATGGAGCAAAAATAATAACTTCTTGAATACAAACTATTAATATTATGATTTAAAAGAGATTTTGCGATGCGAGCTCGTCATTTTAACATATTCCTTTTCCAAAACTTATCACTATTACAGAATGAATAAAATTTTGTTTGTTATAACAAAACTAGTAACGATATTTTAATATTTTTTAATAACAGGTTCTTGCAAATTATTGACATAGAAAAATAAAATTTAATTTATGACATGTTCCTTTTTTAATTATACCCTCTTTGACATGTTGTACATCATTTTTCCTTTAAAGACTGTATTTCATTGATTTAGTATAGAAAAGTTTACCCTTGCCGCGCTTCTTTTCTTTTAATTATGAATCAAGTAACATTTACGATTTCCATAATCATATTTACTTTCGTGATTTTCTCAATTAACCATATTGTTTACAAAAAAAAATGGTTTAGTTTTTACTAATTCAATATACTTTTCACTTAGCATGCGGTGTAACGTGTTTGTATTTGGTTCAAAATTAGCAAAAAATGTGACAGATTTCGGAACATACTTCGAAGTTGCACACTGTACTTCCGGAAAATTTTAAAAGTGCAACTATTTCAGATAACCTCTATTTGCATGTGGTAAGAAGAACATTGGTAGCATTCACGTGCAATTTTTAGATTTGAATAAAATAAAGGTGTGTATTCTTAATTAAATAAAATTCTGGATCATAATCTTAAGGTAACCTTTATGTTCACTTTTTTATTACATATGCACGTTAAAGTAATGTTGTATACATTTTTTTTACATAATAAAGTTATATTTCAGTAAATTAACAGTTCATTACATCATTTTTGTAGATGGGAGAGGAAAAGCCAATTAAAGGAGGGTAAGCTGAATTATATTTTTTAAGAAGTTACACATTGCTAGGTTATATTTTAAAGATACTTTTGTTTGAAAGTGATGAGCTCTCCAAAAAGGCTCTTAAAAAACAACAAAAAGAAGCGGATAAAGCAGCAAAGAAAGCTGAACGCAAAGCTCAAAGTGTAAGCTAAGTTATTATATACATATGTTATAAAAAGATAGTTTTGTATAACAGAATTTTATTGTATGATAAAGTATTTTTAACTTATGTATATAGCAAGCACAACAAGACGTGAATCAAGAAGAAGATGTATCAGTTGGAAACTATGGAGAAACAGGATTAATACAGAGTAGAGACAAGCATGCAGAGAGAAAATTTACAGATATTAAAGATTTACATCCCAATTTGGAAAACCAGTGTGTATGGTTAAGAGGACGTTTACATACCAGTCGTGCTAAAGGTATGACATTTCAAAATAAAGAATGATTTAGAAAATGCAGTTAATATTTATTTTTTGAAGCAAAATATTTTTTTTTATAGGTAAACAGTGTTTTATTGTTTTAAGACAACAATCTTATACAGTACAAGGCTTGGCTGTGGTTAATGAAAAAGTCAGCAAACAAATGATTAAGTTTATATCCAAGTAAGTTACAGAAATGAATTTCTAAATTAATGTTATTTTGTATTTAACAAAGTTATTTTGCAGTATAACCAAAGAATCCATTGTTGATGTAGAGGCAGTTGTAAAACGTGTTCCTTCTAAAATTGAATCATGTACACAAAATGATGTAGAGGTTCACATTGAAAAAGCTTTTGTAGTAAGTGCTGCAAAACCACAATTACCTTTACAAATTGAGGATGCTTCAAGACCTGTAGGAGAAGCTGATGACAATGCTCTAAACATAAAAGTAAATCAAGATACTAGATTGGACAATAGAGTTTTGGATTTAAGAACTCCAGCTAATCAGGCTATATATAGAGTGGAAGCTGCTGTTTGTAAATTATTTAGAGATATACTTACAAATAAAGTAAGTTGCTAGTAAAGTAATTTTATGTAATTGTGATAATTCATTTATTAAATTCTTGTAAGCACAAAAATATTGAATTGGTATATAGGGTTTTGTTGAAATTCATACACCAAAAATTATATCTGCTGCAAGTGAAGGTGGAGCAAATGTATTTACAGTGTCATATTTTAAAGGAAACGCTTATTTAGCGCAGTCTCCTCAACTTTATAAACAAATGGCAATAGCAGCTGATTTTGACAAGGTTTTTACTGTAGGAGCAGGTAATTCCAAGTTGAAAAATCAATTATTTAATTGAATTCTTAGAACATATATTATGCATGATGTATGATAATTATTTAGTTTTTAGAGCTGAAGATTCTAATACGCACAGACATTTGACGGAATTCGTTGGTCTCGATTTAGAAATGGCATTTAAATACCATTATCATGAAGTGGTCGATACTATCGGACAAATGTTTACAGAAATGTTTAAGGGTCTTCGTGACAAGTTAATGAAAGTTTTTAAGTAATGTAGAAACTTCTTTATCACTGTCTATAATATAAATCTTGTTACATTTAATTTTAGTTACGCAGCTGAAATTGAGGCTGTACGTCAGCAATATAATGTAGAGCCGTTTAAGTTTCTGGATCCGCCTTTGAAATTAGAATTTAATGATGCGATTGAATTATTGGCGGAAGCTGGCGTAACTTTAGGTGAAGAAGACGATTTATCTACGCCCGATGAAAAATTATTGGGTAAACTTGTTAAGGCAAAAGTAAGCTGTTTCTTATCAATATTATTTACAAATAGGAGTCTTTTTTTCATCATACTTTCCTTTTTAGTACGATACGGACTTTTATATTTTGGATAAATACCCGCTAGCTGTAAGACCATTTTATACCATGCCAGATCCAAATAATCCTGTAAGTACACGTAACTCATTTTAAGCCCAGATCAAATACATGTAGTAATATTTATTACAGAAAGTATCAAATTCTTACGACATGTTTATGCGCGGTGAAGAAATTATTTCTGGTGCACAACGTATCCATGATCCTGAACTTCTTACAGAACGTGCAAAACATCATGGAATTGGTAGATATATTTAATTTCAGATTTTTACATGTTTGCGGTTATAACGTAATACAATTTTTATTTAAATTCTAGACATAGAAAAGATAAGATCATATATTGATGCATTTAAATATGGCTGTCCTCCTCATGCTGGTGGTGGAATTGGAATGGAACGTGTTGTTATGTTATATCTTGGTTTGGACAATATCAGAAAAGTTTCCATGTTCCCTCGCGATCCTAAACGTCTTACGCCATAAAATTTCATTGTTGTAAAACAACGTATATAATTATAAATATTACATTTATAAATATTAATATAATACATATACATACGTATAAAGGATTATCTACAAGACAACTGTAATGGCACCCTCCTCTGTGGTATTAGTTCTTTTTCTTTTTTATGGTACTTTTAAATTGTGCATGGCGTTGTAGAAATTTTCGCGCTAGCGATGGGTTCCTCGCTTGTGGAGCGCTGATCCGCTCTGCTCACGTTCGATTTGCGTGTCTGATTTCAATCTCGATGAAAAAGGGACCTGGGTACTGTTCAGGTGTAATATTAATTTTAAAGAAATGTTGAATAAAGATGAAAGGAAATATATTCCCCGCTATAAACTAATTTACTTTTACAAAATTGGAATACTCAAATAATACGATTGATCTCTTTTGGCGCGAAGTTTAGATGCCAAGCAACCGAAATCAATATTTATTTAGTGAGCGTCGTTAAGTAGTAATCCGCGGAAGTATTAACAAGCTTTTGTTTCTTGTTTCGCGCGCCTAAGTCCATGTTATGTGGAGCCATCTAACATAAGGTCATGTTCACATGGTATCGTAACAAAATAAACCACCTACGAAGAAACATTCATAGATGTCGTTATATGTCTCTTAAAACTGAGTTACGTCAAAGAAGTGTCTCTAAACGCAAACAAATTTTGAATTTTGTGTTAAGAAAGGTTAAGATAACAATTTATAATTGTGAAGAATATCACATTATACTCGTGCTTAGTAATTTTGATAAAAGTTGTGTATTATTAAAATCTGAATATGACAAGCAAATCGTTGATTTTAAGCGGTTTCAAAGAAGATTGCGAACAATTAATTGCTCGTTTCGAACGGGCAGACGATATTAGATTTCAAACTTTTTGTGAAATATGGAAAGCAATGAAATTTTCGTTGGTGTTTACGTAAGTCAAAATAGAATTTGATTGTAACAGTTATTTCTGTTATAACATTTATTTTAAGAACTATAGAAAATGTTATCATTCAAATAAGTTATAAATAATTGTTTGAAATGTATATATATCCTTTTATATTTCAAGGGGGCGTCCAACTTTTTTAGAGTTGTTAGAATTTTGTGAAGAAGCGCTAAATGTGTGCAAACAATTTCTTCTTTTGCCTCCTCGTTTTAAGGAACGTATTGGAGGATTGTACCTTTTATATGGAATATATCATAAGATGCCAATTGATCAATTTAAAATTAGAGTTAAACTAGATGACTGGCAAAGCATTATGGAGCTTCATGCAGAAATAAAAGAAGCAGAACATTTAGATGCTAATTATATATTATGTAAACTAATTGCAGAAAATGCATTTCATTTCTGTATTTTTGATTCAGAGGTAGATTTAATTAAAATTCTTTATTTTGAATAATGTTTTATAGATCTTATACATGATTTCTTGTTTCCAGTTTGGTTTGGAAAAGCATTATCGTATGAAGAATGCACAATGCTTTAACCCATATTCTGTATTGCCAACTTTGAAAGATTTAAGTGATAAGCATCAAATGTTGTCAAAAATTGATGTATTAAGTAAAGCTTATGAAGAAAAGAAACAATTACTACTGCTTAAAAATAAGTCAAATAGTAGTTTAAACTTATTCAATACAAACATAGCTAAAGAAATTGTTAATGATATTCGAGAGTTTGAAGAGCAGAGAAGGAATCAACAAATAAAAAATGTGCTTGATCATGAGAAAACATGTAGTGCCTCTACTTCAAAAGGGGAATGTAAAAAATCTCAATTGTGTGTATATTTATACAAACAATATATTTGTTATAAGTTTGTTAGACTACTTCCTATATATTTATATGTATGTTTTTATATTTTAGAAAATATACTTCTAAAAGCAAAGTAAGATCATTGATGGATGATGGTTTTCAAACAGATTCAAATGAATCTGAAGAAGATGAAGTATTAGAACTTGATGAGTGTGATTCAGATATACTAGAAAGTTTTGCTTAAGAATAAAAGAAAAGAAAAAGAAAACATAAATACATCTCTTACCTGTAAGTGTGTTGCCTTGTAATATAAAATAAGCTGTGTAGTTTATAGCATGTTCATAGTTCGAACAAAGAGTATATTAAGTAAATGATGTTTATATTTAAATTATTTTTTATTCAGAAGTGTACAAAATAAGTATAAGGAACAAATCAGTGAAAAGTATCAATCATTCTAAATTTTAAAGAAACCTTTTGTAGAATACATTGTACTCTATCTTATTGTAGCTGTTTTGCACAGACTTTAAATGAAGACAATTCAATTAAATGACTGAACATCTTTAAAATGGAATTGAATTTTTAAACTTAAAAACTGAGTAGAATATATTATAGATTTCAGACACAAGTTACTTTATCAGAGACTGGTTTCAAAGATGTAACTTTCCATTTTTATGTAGCTGTATGTATATTTACGGTATTAAAAATAAATCTATATACTGAATGCAATTGTTCTATTGCCGCGAATAAACATTTATAAAGCTCGCGGCAAAATGTTCATGCTAGAATTTCTTAATAAACTTTCAATTGGTTGTTGTCGTCAAATCCAGCACTATGGCCCGCGTTTCGTACAATAAAACTAGTTCCATCGTAATGCATACGTCGTTCACCGCGACGCACAAATAGATGAGAAGTTTGGCCAAGAGAGGCAGTACAATGTAAAAATGGTGTTGTTAACGAAGCTGTTCCATTACTAGGTGATGTTCGTAATTGATACTTGTTACTATTTCGGGCAATCCTAATAAAAGAGAGATTATATTTTTATCGACTAATATGGTAGTGTAATTTTTTGCATTTACCATTATTAATAAAAGTACCTGACAAGACCATCAGGTGTTTGGGAAACTCTGACATTGTTAATAATCCAATTTTCTACACCCTCGTTAGTTAGCCAGTATTGAGCGGCGTTTAAAGCTGCCGCAGCTTCTTGTAAACATGCTGGACCATGCCGGGAACGAGAGTAAAAAACGCTTACAGAAAAGTCCTAAAAGTTACACATTTTCTTCATTGCAGTACATGATTAATGGAATAATTGCCTTTTTTCATACCTGACTCATATCCGAAAATGAATCTGTAGTTGTTCTTGTTCCTGCTGTGTCAACTAAATAAACAAGAGCGCATTGCTCCGAAGTGAAACTGACCCCCTTATACCACATCTTTGCGTATCTGATGAAGGATAATAATACTTGTTAATGGTACTTTAATGATGTTACAGATACCACTAACTTGTTATTGCCGTGGGCGTCGTGGGCCAAGATTTCAACTCGTGATCCGTACTGATATATTCTTCCATTTGGATGTAGTAATGCAGCAGCTGCTCCAGAACCGCTCAACGATAGTACAATATTATTCTACGCTGACGATAAACGCGATTCAGTAAAGAATCATGTAAGTGTTGCATATTGTTTTCAATTAATATTATTATACACTTATGTTAGTATACTATTTTCTCACTTTCATTTTCATATCGGGTTTTTAATTACTGTTCTATTAAGATCTATTTCAAACAGGAATTCTACTATAATATAGAAGTAAAGGAGATACCTTAAAATTAATTACTCTAACTGCACGATCGATCGTCATATCAACCCGAATCCGGTTATGGAGTCTCAATGAAATTGTACCATGTGGTGTAGTAACAATAGCAGCATCGGTCTCGTGTTCTCTCCAATTTTCCGCATAGACACATGTCTCCTCGTAGCACGGTGCGATAGTTTTAGAATTTCGCGGCTGCCGCCAGAGTGCTGTTGAATTGGAAAATGCGGTTGCACCAGCTAATCCGCCCCATTGCTCCGACGGCGGTGCTTCGAAATACTTAGAAAATTCACTGTACCGCTAAGGAGAACGAAAATGAAAATTTGTTTTAAAAAGAATTGTTCGTCTAATAACGATATTAATTAATAGGTAAAGTACCTGGAAATTAGTTTCATCTGTCTGCGCGTGATAACTGTGTGCTGTGTAGAGAGATCTCGGTCGCATCGAGGTAGTTTGATTTTGTATCGCTGGTACAGAACACGGTTGTTGACTCATCGCTTGTGTTCCAGTTTGGGTATTACATTTTTGGATTTCTTTTCGATACTCGCCACAAGAAGTTGCCATAGCTTTTGCCTTTGATTAACAATGCGGAATAAAAATGATTGAAATTGACTTGAAAGAAAATGAATTGACTAATCTCTACGAATATATGATGTTAAGGGACAGATTTTACGATACGCCTTTTTCTAAGAAGAGAAAGTCAACGGAAATGAAACTCTATCGATAAACAATTCACGAATTAACCGTCGGAGAATATAATAGGTGAAAGAATCTAAATTAGAGACCTTGGAATTAGCTGTGGCGTTTTTTTGCTTCTTGCGACGGGATTTCCGGGGTTTCGACACCGCCGTTTCACTACCCTCGTTTATGCGATCCACGGCTGAAGCGGTTTACGTATCTACAGATTTAGGTCCGTTCAATGGATCCACGACTTCAATCAGTTACTGGTGCTTGATCTCACGAAAATACTTGCATATATGTGACTTTGAACTTGAGAGTTTTCAGTTTAGCGATCAAGAACACCCGGATCGCGTCAAGGGAAATCAATAGTAGGTATCTATAAGAACTTGTACACAGGATAATGCGGTTGAGAGATATTTCGGTGAAACAAACGAATATCCTAGTTGATTGTGTGTGTGTCGTTGCCCTGACGATAAAAAATGACAAGAGACTGATAACAGACAAATTCTGCTGAAACGAAAGTAAATAAAAACTTCTCTTTCTATTCAAATCGAGCAATTAATTTCACATTTATGCATTTACATTAATACGTTGATACATTTTTTAGATCTCTTAACAACGGAGAAAGAGCAATATAAAACTAAAATACTCCGACCAGTATTTCATTCAGAACGAACAACAGTCACTTCTTTTTCATGCAACTTTTTCGCAGTTCTTCACCTCTCCTTCCTCTTGCGCAACAATTTATTTCAAGCCTAAGAAAATCGTCTAATTAATATTTATGACGATGTTATATTACCCGCTTTCTTCTTCAAACATTTCACGTTTTGTAAAACGTTGCTCTAAACTCTAACGTCGAGCAAGTAATCATTTCCTAGGATCAAGGTGAAGGTAACGATTACTAATCAAGTGTTATATAAGTCTATTTTACATTATCGTTAATTATTGTCAAAGTGATTATGACATATTATCCGCATTCTTTTTTAATAGACGAGATAATCTTTCATCTCTCATCAGCGTTTATGTGTATTTTCTTTCATACGTTAAAATAATCCTTCGAATCTTACTTGTTCGTTTTTCCTTCTTTTGTTTTTTTCTTTTTTTTGCACGCGCGGTAACTTTTTGGCGAACGCGAATTTAAATAGTTTGTAAATTGCACTCTCTCTCTCTCCCTCTCTCTCCCTCCCACCCTCTCTCTCTTTCTCTCTTTTTTCACCATTCGAATTGCAGCGTGTACGGTGAATTAGTAATATTGGGAGATTTTATATGTGTTCCAATCCCGTGGCATTCACTTTCAAGGATAGCAGTGAAATTGTAGTATGTAGTTTCTTCGACACATTTTTCCCATAGAATGCACGATTCGACAATAAATTTGGAGTGGTAATGACAATAGAAGTTACTGCAAGTCAATGAGCTTATTGCATAACAGCGTAATAGGTACCTTCTTTGTATTTCTTTCAAGCAAATATATTATCCGTGTTGTAGAAAATTCAAACGAGACAAAACTTTCCTGATAGTGCTTCATTGAATAAAATTAGCGATGACGACGCTTTGAATATGCAATTTCACTCGAAAAGTATCTATCTCGAATGAAAAATAGTTCTAGGACGTTCTGTAAAAGCATATCACTAATTTATTCATCTTCTTTTTTTTTTTTCTCTTCTAGGTACTGTAACGCGCGAACAATACTACATAAGAGTAATACACATACAAGGTATATCTTTTACGTTTTATGCAATACAATACTCATGAATGAAATACATGTTGGACATGTCAATACACAACATCGTCTTATTGCAAGTAACAATATATTGTATAATACTGCTTTTCATATGGTGGGGACGTAGGATTTATCTGCTGACACTTCTTAAGGCCCCAGTACGCGCTCATTCAGCACGTGTAATAGCTCGTGGAAGCTTGATTTGTAAATAGAAAACAGTCTTCGGAAAGGTTTTACTTAGCGATTTTTAACAATGTTCGTATATAAACTTCCGCTTATCTTGGGTGTTATCGGCTTAACTTTAGGTAATTGTTATTTTTCTTTATAATTTTTCCAGATCGTTATTTAAATGTATTCGAATATCGCAGATAAGAATTTTGAGAATTGACACAGACATTGGCTGTTGTTTTGAATGCGAAAAAAATATCAGAACTAAGAACGATTTATCGATATTTCTGCTATTGTAACTATTTCTAATGCTCTCGAGTATTTAGTTTCAGTATGTCCTTGAAATTTTAATTTAAAGTATCGTATTTTCTCGCCTTCTAGAGTCGCCTGCGCCAGTTGAAAACGTTGAAACAAATAATGATAAAGATGGTAAAAAAATTGAAAGTAGTACCCTTCGGCTAGTAACAGTGGTAAATATAAATGAAAAGTATCGGATTTAAAAAAGTATACGATCTGTTTTCTGTTCTATTGTTACATTATTTTCGTTTGATATGAAATCCTTCGTATGTATATTTGACTTAAATGTATTTGCAGCTGGATTAACGTTATCGTACGATCAATAAAAGCGATGTAGATTTCTTTAGCATACCTATTTCTTTGAAAATAAATGCCTTGTTTCATTTTTATTTCAAGCTTTAATTAACATAACTATGGCATTCTAACAACAAATGCACATACTGCTTATTTGAATAATTATCATTGCCCCTTAATAATTGATGAAAATAAATTTTTAGGTAATGAGGCATGGAGACAGAGCACCACAGGATACTTACCCAAATGATCCTTACATCAATAATACTATGGAGCCTTATGGTTGGGGTCAATTAACAAATGTAACATTTTACATGATTTCTTTAACTATATCGATATTTAATTTGACACTACAGATAAATAATCCTATGCAGGAAGGGAGAAGAAATCAGTACAATCAAGGTCTTTTCCTACGAAAACGATACGATCATTTATTGGGCCCGATATACAACCCTGACATATTTTATTTGCAATGTACCGCGGTCGATCGTACAAAAATGTCTGCAATGTTAGAGGCAGCAGCTTTATGGAAACCAAATGAAAACCAAGCTTTTAAACCTGACTTAGCCTGGCAACCTGTTACCTTATTTTATCAACCGCGTTCAGAAGATACAGTACATATTTTCTTTTATAAACTAATTAACTTTAACTTGATATCCATAGTCGACTAATATTTAAGTTTTTCATGTTTATAGTTAATGTTAATATGGGATACGTGTCCGAAGTATACCAAGTTACGACATACAATTACAAGTCTGTCAGAAGTTCAACAAATTCAAGAGAATAATAGACTACTCTATGAAGAATTGACGAGTTTAACGGGTATGGAGATTTCAACACCAGGTGATGTTGGTTCACTTTACGGAACATTAACAGCAGAGGTTTGTATCGGTTGGTTCTTTTGAGCAAATAAAAGATTAGATATACTATACAGATATATTTTATTAACATTGTAAATCCATTATTTTAGAAACATATGAACTTAACACTTCCCAAATGGACTGAAGATTATTTCCCTGATAAACTGATACCGCTTACATTATACGACTTTCAACTTAACGTTTATAATGATCTTCTTAAGAGACTTAAAGGGGGACCATTTGTTAAAAAAATTGTTACCGATATGTTAGCAAAAAGAGACGACACTTTAGAACCTGCAACAAGGAAAATGTTTATGTATATTGGTCATGACAGTACAATTGTCACTCTTTTGGATGTTATGCACGTATGGAACAATCAAATGCCATATTATAATATCATGACAATGATCGAATTGCACGAAACGAACAAAGGCTGGAATGTTCAAGTAAAGATTGACATTGTTTTATTTATTGAGCAAATATTTAAAAGAATTTAATCGTCAGTTTTATCATTTTCATACTCTGTTTTCTAGATCTTCTTAAGAAATACCACTGATCATGAACCATATCCTCTGACTATTCCTGGATGTACAACGGTATGTCCTCTTGAAAAATTTGTACAGATTTTAAAACCAATGATACCAGACGATTGGGTAGAAGAATGTAAAGTTGACGGAGATTATACACCTCCGCCTGCCCCACTTCCTTGATCATAATTATATTATAAAGATACAAAATGTACCATGAAGAAAATGATGAAAGTATTACTTAAGTAATTAACTGTTAGCAAGAGATAACTGTGTAAAACGTGTATATTTTTGGAAATAAGTGATTATATAATAAGAAATGTAAAATAAACATGTACTAAAATAGGATTATTTGTCTACTTTAGGCCCAAAATGTATTCGTAGATTGTTAATTTACATAATGGATACTGTGACAATGATAACTAATAGTTAATTTCCGTAGAATGTATGTATTTACATTTTTATTTATTTACTTTTTTGTTACATACACATCTCAATTATATTCTATTAACTGACTATAAAAAATATGTACTTGTATATAAGACGAAAGTGTTTGCCAATTATGAACAAATGCTTATAATTAGGTATTGATTTGTTTCTAGGCAAATATTTTCTCCTCACGACGCTTTTTTGTAACCACTGTGCCAGGTTTATGTTGAGCGTCCGGATGATTCAATAATTCAGGGGGACAGGTAGATATTGGACTTGCAAGAATTGTTTGCTTCAAATCATAGAATAGATGACTGTCGTCCTTGGTGCAGAACGAAATGGCAAGACCAGCTTTTCCAGCACGACCAGTTCTACCGATACGGTGCGTATAATCTAAAAATAGGTAAAAAATAGAATATACTTTTGTTCTTACAATCTCCCTTTTTTATAGTATATAGTATTTACCTTCTATAGTCTTAGCCATATCATAATTAATAACCATAGACACATCTTTAATATCGATACCACGTCCCGCGACATCGGTGGCAACCAAGATATCTTTACTGCCGCTTTTCAGAGAAGCAAGTGCATATTCTCTTTGTTCTTGTCCTTTACCACCATGAAGAGTACAAGCATTGTACTGAAAAATAACACACCAATAAAATACAATATCAATAAAATATACGCTCGCAATACTGTAAAATAATTGAAACTCGAACGTACACCCAATTTCTCCAAACCTCTTGCCAGTACATCAGCTCCTTTCTTTTGATTAACGAATATAATAACTGGTGGTTCAACACCTCTGCTAAGTATTTCCATAAGTTTTTTACGCTTATCAGCCTCGCCCATTATGTGCACAATTTGTTCTGTTCTTTCTGTCGGTTTTCCTACACTGCCAATATATACAACCGCAGGTCGTCTTAAATAAGTTCTGGCTAATCTTTCTACAGCGGGTGGCATAGTCGCGGTAAACATTACAGTCTAAAAATTGTAATAAAAATTATCAATTATTTATATTCGGTTGTAATGTAATAATAAATATTATTTCCTACCTGTCTGTATTTTTTCTTCGTATTGTAATTAGCTAGAAGTTTTTCTTCGTTTTCAGCATCTTCATTGTCTGGTTTTAGATTTGTAACTGGCATGTATTCCAAAATCTTTTGAACATCTGAAAAGTTAAAGAAAAATTAAAATTTAATTCTATGCATACACCAGCATTCTAAAAACATACCTGGTTCAAATCCCATATCTATCATTCTATCAGCTTCGTCCAAAACAATATAAGTACACTGATTTAAAACCAAGTATCGATTTTCTAGTACGTCTATTAATCGCCCTGGTGTAGCTATAACGATCTGTAATAGTTGTAATTAATTTAAAGTGTTACAAGGTCGTAAGTTGTAATACACCATTTTCTATTTGATAAAACTAATACCTCACAACCCATTCTCAATCTAAATCCTTGTTCTTCTCTTGAAAGACCACCTACAACAACAACCGTTCTTATACCCAATGGTTGTCCAAATTTATTTGTCTCTTCTTCAATTTGCTGGGCTAACTCACTAAAAAAATGTATATTATGAATTTTAGTTTTCTTCCTTTAACTAATATGATTAAAAGTATAAAAATAAATTTACCGAGTTGGTGCTAAAATTATACTGTAAGGACCCTGATCTGCTTCTTCTAGTCTTTCAATTTTTGGTAAACTAGTGATCCATAATAGTAATGGAATTAAGAATGCTAAAGTCTTTCCAGATCCAGTTTCAGCAACTCCAATAATATCACGATTTTGAAGTCCTATGGGAATGGCTTGTCTTTGAATAGGTGTTAAATCTTTGTATCCCACTTTATCAATAATATCAAGAATTTCTTTTGGAAATCCAGACTCTTTCCATGATCTAATTGGATCAGGTATACGGCCCCCTTTTATTGTAATATTGTAATCCTCCCTAAATATACGCCAATCTCTTTCTGTCATTTCATGGAGAGCTTTTTCTGACCAATGTCTGTCATCCCACTTTTGTTTCTCTTCTTTCCTTTTCACCTTTTTCAACCTCATTCTAAAAGAGATATGTACAAAATATGAATAAATATAAAGTATACATAATTTATAGTTTTAGAGAAGGCTACACACTTCTCCTGTTCTTTTTCTGCTTCTGTTCTTCTTTTCTCTAGAAGCTCTCCATAGAATTTACTTTGATCTCGTTTTTGTGCTTTGATATCTATACCAGCAAGATTTCCTCTACCAAAAAATTGAACCTGATGTCTTTCTTTGTAAATGCTATTGTAATCAACAGATGTGTCTTCTGAAGTATCCCAATCAAATACAAATTTCCTATCATTCAATCGTCTAACACGTCGTTTTTTCTTCACTAATCCCAAATAACGTTCTTTAATAGCTTCCACTTCTTTCTCTTTATCCTTGTCCTTGATTTCATCTTCCCTTGTACGTTGACCATCTCTACGCCTATTTTACAAATTATTATGAAAATAAATCTTTACTTTACAAATTCAATTTGTGTAATCAAATATTGTATACCTATCCCTATCATCCCACTCCCTATCTTTTCCAGCACTTTCATTGTGGGAGAAAGATTTACGTATTTCCTCCTGTTGTTTTCTTATGGCTTCAACTTCTTCTTGACGCTTTTGTATAGCTATAGTAGCACGTTCTTCTTTAGTTAAAAATTTTGGTTTAGCACGTGCTTCTTCTTCTGCTTTCTTCTTAGCCAATAGTTCTTCTAAACTTAGTGGTTCTTTCTTTGGTGGAGCTTTTGATTTGTCCTCAGATTCTTCCTCTTCTTTCCTACCTTCAGATTTATTTTCTTTCTTGTTTTCATCTTCTATGACAAATATTGGACTTGGTTTGCGTTTTTTCTCATCTTTTGACTTGTCCTTCGAATCTCGTCCTTCTTTTGATCTCCCCCCGTCTTTTTCGCGTGATCTATCTCGTTCTCTTGATCTTTCACGTGATCTTGAACGTTTCCTATCTTTTTTTCGATCCTTGGATCGGCTTCTTGATCGTCTTCTATCTCGTCGTTCCCGATCTCTTTCACGATCGCGATCTCGTTCACGCGATCTACTTCGTCTTACAGTTTTTTTATCATGAGCCATAGAAAATTCTCCAAATTGTTTTATTCAGTCGTTTATAATTAATACAGAATTTTTTTAGAGGTTATAAAATGTGAACCTGAAAAGTCGTTAAGTTTTTAACAACAAACGGATAGTAACATAAACGTTATGTATCGTTGTAGTAATACTTACTTTCTATACCGACATTTCTAATAAGTAGTTACAGGAAATCTGTAATATTTATATTAAATGTTGTCAAACGTCACAGCAAAATATACGATATATTTTAAACGTATGAAGTTATCAAATAAAATATATGTCCACAAATGATAACATCAGAGCAAGTGCTTTTTTTAAACGAATTATAATAATTAAAATTTGTTTAATTAAACGCAATCAGTTTACACGAAAGTTACATATGTATACACCATACTGCTTACAACTCACGATTGTTATGTCTTTGGTTAACTTTCCAATGCAAGCGACATAATTTATTTCCCATGGTTAACTCCATAATTTACTTGATTTTTTATTTGATACGGTTACAAAAAGGCGTTAAATATTACATTCTTAAACAGATAATAATTATTTTATCAAATTAGAATGATTATACAAACTTTTATAAATTTATATAACTTAAAGCCTGTGAAACATGAAACGAAGGCAAATGATAACGAAACAGTTAAATCTTGCAGATTTTGAACACTTTTTTCAAAAACAACAGTTATTTTTAAATAGTTACATATATGCTTCGATTTTTTTTATGTAAAAAAGCTGTTAAAAGAGATGCATACTGTAAAACAATATGATTTTAGATAAAGATCATTACAATATTTTTTCACCTTCTAGTAACTTCGATATAATAATCTTTCCTTTAATAGAAAATTATTGAAAAATTCATCGTGTAATAAAATTTATTGAATTTTTGCCGCTCAATCATAAACAGAATGCTTTGCACTCATTGGACAGTGGCATGTAAAATTTTGAGCCAATAGAGTGGAAGCATCGGGTGAGCCACAGGGAGGCTCAATAAAGAGCGCTAGTGTCCGTCAAGTGTCACAGCCGTTGCTTGTCTCCTCAGTATTGTAACTTAAATCGGTGATTTAATTAGGAATAACGTATTTTTTTCTAGAATTTGTGAAACGTTAAGCAATAATGACCGACAAGAAAGGTAACTATACATCGTAATCGCGCAATACAACTAGCATTATGTGTTACACACGTTAAGAATATCTCGTGTTTTCGAGTCGAGAATACCACTTGTCACTCGTACGACAGAGAGTTTTTTTATGTTAGCGATGCTATCCGACACCTGTGAAGAATGGTGCACGTTCAAATTCGATCAAAGCTCGTACCATTCTTATACGAATAAAGCCCCGTCTTAATTCGACGAGAAAAAACTTGAATTTCTGCCCAGTGACAGATAAATCAATACCGCATTGTGTGTGGGAAATACAAAATGGCTTCCAGAGTTCGTCTTAAATAATTTTCGTGATGACCCTTTATTAAAAATCATATGCTACCTGCAACGTTACAATTTTATCAAGTATTATTAGTATTATTCGTTTTATGTCAAGCGCAATTTTATTCATGCCCTTTGCATCGAATCAATTACTGTGCATATGCAAGAACGTATTATGTATATGTGCACGGATAGTGTACACTTTACGCTTTTCAGAAAAATTCACGTAGTATCAAAAAATTCAATATTATTATGTTTTATTTGTATATAATTAGTTTCTTTGAGAAGTAACAATTCCAAATTCTATTTAACCTTGTGTAATAGAAGAAAGATGCTTTTGATATTTGTAAAAAGGTGTCAAGCCTTTTATCAGAAGTACATGTATTAATATATGAAACTTTAGAGATATTAAAAATGTTACTAGGGACAAAGGAAGTGTAATAAATTTTTACTTTAATGATACATACCTATTGCATTAATACAAATTTTCCCTTGTGAATTGAATAATTCAATTTCAATTAACATTGTGGTAAAAAGAGAAAGTGTAAGGTAAATGAAATAAAAAGATGCAACATTAAAAAATTGATTTCTGGAAGCCATACATATACTTTTATGTTGTGTAGTGCTTGTAGAACAATCAACAATAAATAATTTATATTTATTTATGACATTTTGAAATTATATGTTGAACAATTTTATTCAAACATAATCATGTTATTTATGTAATTTATAGTTATGATACATAAATAATATAATTTTGCTGAATCATATTTCTTTGTATATACATATATATGAAATATTTTATTTGACAATCATGAAATATTAATTTCAAATTATGTAGCTTCTTCACGTTTAAGATATCTTAAGCTTCAAATTAATATATTTTAAAATGAAGTTGATAGAGGATTGTTTTTAGTTCTTTTTTATAACCTTCAGAAATGTGTCATTATTTAAATTAATCCGTGTACATGTGGTATTATTCAATAGAAGCTGTTTAATAACTCGTACGAGTGAGGTATGTAATTTAATATTACTACTGTCTTTTCTCGAGTTTTGTACGTGCTGATTGAAATATTTAATTTGACATACAGCTTGGACCACTACACGATTCAATAGTGATCTACTGTTGTACTTAATTAACAGCTCGGACACTTATGTGATTATTCCTAATTCAGTCCGCTCTGTTCCTAAGGCAAATGTATGAAATGCTATGCTCAAAGAGCATAGCATTTAAGGGATGTGTAAAAGTTTAGTCTGTAAGTAGATCAGTATACACTGTTAATGATACAACTGAAAAATAATACGAAAATTGAGGATTATACTGGTGCAAATCTACGAGCGTATTACCGTGACGGTATAGCCGCTAAAAAACCGAAGGATAGCGCCTACAGTTGTGGCTGTCAATATGTTTGCAGCGGACCATTACAAAGACGATTTGATCCCAGTCAGTAGGTGGAGCTTCGGAGACCGGCGTTCGCGCAGCCTAAGCCACGTATCTAACCTCACCTTACTCTATATATTACCTAACTCACTACGTGTTTATATACCAACATATATTACGTATACACATATATATATATAATATATATATTCCACCAAATATATATATGAAAATA